GTAAAACTAAATGCACAGGGTCAAACATTAAAAAACAACAGGTATCCAAAATTATAAAACACTAAAAGATAAAAAACATACAGGAATAGAAAGGGGATAAAAAATATACAGGAATAGAAAGGTATTATGAAACAATTAAGGCTATGTGAAGAATGTGTAGACGTCATGGCCTAATTGAAGGTTAAAAACTATGTATATAAAATATACATATATAATATGTGCGTACACCTAATTTAGAAAATAGACTGAAAGGCTTAAATGGTATAAGAAATCTGAATGTGAAGTGATGTGTATAATTCAAAAACATACAACAAAAAAAATATACTAAAAAGAAACAATATATGGTTACAAAGCAAATATATGACCAGCGATATTTTAAAGAAAAACAATTAAAAGAAATGGACAGAGGTGGGAATCAATCTACGGATATCCCCCATGTGAAGTTAACGCCTTAACCAAATAAGCTAAACATAGGTTTACTTATCTACAAATAAATAAAATTATATAATAGTAAATGTAGCCCCGGCAATGTTAAGATGGGGGTCAAAATTATCTTTTTTTTTTATTTAAAGGGGTTGTCGATAAATAAAAGGATAATTTTAACCTCTTTTGGTGTCATTTCTTTAAAATATTTTTAGCTTTTTGCAACACCCAGAGCTATTACAAATATAGATCTAGATAATGACTGCTTGCTAATTATGAGTTAAATGAATGGGGGAATAAAAAAATCAATAGATTTAAAAAACCGTTGTCAGAAAACATTGTTCGAAAGGGTACTAAATGTGTAATAATTGGGAACCTAGTGAGTAAGTAACTAGTAAAACAATGGGGTACTAGTAATAAGTTTGGTTTTCAATAGTTGTAGAAATGTAAGTTGTACCACTTAATGTCAGTTTTATGACAAAATGTTGTAAAATGTTGCAGAAATAAATTCTCTTTTTTGAAAAAAATTTTTATTACATTTCTGCAACAATTTTTATTTAACAAATTTGCTCAACTGTTATCTGAGATTTCTGAAACTATTAAAAACCAAGCATAACATTAAAATATTTCCCTTATCCTAATTTTTAATTTCTTTTATAATTTTTAGCACCAATAAAAAAACTTCACGCATTACTTCTTCCAAACATATTTTGTGATGAAGAAGAACTTTTGTTTACCGTTACGCTAGTAAATTTTATTGACCAGTATAACTACATTTATATAATTATTGTATATTATAAAAATTAATTATTTGAATAAAAGTTGATAGAAGTTATTCAGTACAATTTTTACTAATTTATAACTCAATACAGTTTATAATTGAACAGGTAATTTCAAAAACGTCATAAGTCATTTTTAAACAAAAATGAGTCAAACTTGATATCGTGTTATCGGAAGGTAGATACATTTTTCTTTGAAAAAACACATTAATCAGACCTTTCAGACAACGCCTTCCTAAGGGTCATCAGGCGCCACCTAGGAATCATATAACATGATTCCTAGCTTCATCATTTTCATCCAAAAATGATTTATGATGTCTCTGGAAGAACCCGTTCAATAAAAGTCAATTTTTATATATATTCTAATTATTTATAATAAAGTTATTATATATATTTTTAATTTTAGTTAATGTTAAATTTCTAATTGAATAATTGAAGAAGATCATATAAATCAATCACAAATAAGTCTTTTAGTTGACAAAGTGACACTAAGAAATCCAACTCTTAATATTTCTTATGGCTTGGTTCTAGTTATCTTTTTAAATTCATTTTTGATATAGCATACCTAAAGAAACTTTATAAACAATGTCTTTTTTAAAACATTAGTTTTTTGAACTTGTGATAATAAATTATAAAACTTGATTCCTAACAAATGTTTTTTAATATGTTTTAAAACCTTTTTTTTAAATAAAGTTTTTTTTTTGTACTCAATACTTTTTAGTTTTGTTTTTTAAAGAAATTTTTTCATTTTTAACTTGATTCAGTTTTATTCATATATATATATATATATATATATATGTTGTTGAATAATAAAACTAGATAAGTGTTTTTATTAATTTATTGTTGCTCTGTTATTTAAGAACATTGAGCACTCTATTTATAGAATACACTAACATAATTTATGTATATATTTATATAAATATATATAAATAGTATTTATATATATAAATATATATTTGCAGGCCTTGCAATAAAGCGTCGGGCGATGTGAATTTTACATCGTCCAAGGGCAATTTTGCGTGTAGCTAGGGCTATTTGCGTCGAGCAAAAAAATTTTTGTTTGAGTATATTTAAAGATATTTTTGAGCGGAATTTTAATGAAGTAATTTACGATTATTTTAACATTTAATAAGGTATTTTAAAAACCGCACGCAGTTGAAATAAAAGTTTGAATTAAAAAAAATTAAATATGTTCATTATTTACAAGTAGAAAAAATTCAGATTAAAATAAAAGTTTAAATCTTTTAAGCTAACATTTTAATAAAATTATTCAGCAGTAGCAAAGTTGTTGATAAAATTGAACAAAAATACTTTCTTTTAGTTTTAGATTTTAAACTTAAATAATTATTTTACGGGGGTTTGTTAGGTTTTAAAATTATTTCATAGATTTAAAAATATTTATTAACTGTAAGACGTATTTAAAGTATTTAAGAGTAATTTCGAGAAAACATTTTAAAAATTGGTGAGCGCAAATAAAAAAAAAAAAAGGATTAATATTAAAACGTATTCTACTTGATTCAATAAAAAAATACAGTTATTAAAATTTTTGTAAAAAGTAACTCAAAAAAATTACTTAAATAATAACGATCGCTTTTATGTTAAAAGTTACCGAAACTCAACGAAGCCCGCTCAAGAACAGCTGTTGAAAAATAAAACGTCAATAGTTTTTCGAATAATTTTTAATAATAATTTTTTCGCTGAAATATTTCTTTTATACCTATAAGATTTTTATTCTAACATTTTTTTTTATTTTACTAGAAATGAAATTCCTTGTTAACATTAAAAATCTATTCAAAACGTTCGTTTAAGTTTTTTATTAATACGAGTGATTGTGCTTATCAACCGCTTTATGAAAATAAATAAAAATAAATAAATAAATGTTATATAAAATCGCTTGTAAAATTATTAGCTATTGCACATTTTTTAATCGTACAATATTAAAATTTCCAGTTTATTACTCGCTGACTTTTTAAAAAGAAAAAACAATTATTTGAAAACCTTTCAATTACATATTTAAGAAAAAAAAAATCAAATATTAGCATATTTTATAATCTTTTTTAAATTTAAGTTATGTTTTTTATTCGTTTAGTATAGACAAAATGTGACAAACGTTGAGAAAATAAACAAATGTTTTTACATTTTAAAAAATGAAACATTCCAAAACATTTTTAAATAATAACATTTCTACATAAACGATTTAAAGTAGTTTTGCGGTAATTAAGTAAACTGGTACAGTTAATGTTGATAAATATGAAAAGCAAATAAAAAGAATTTTATGACGTCAAAAATCACGTCGTGCTTATGCGTCGCGCAAGTAAGAGTGTTTACATGTATACAGCATGGAAAACAATGGCTGCCTAAAATGACTAAAAACTACTATTTTGACCACTTAAAATGAATTTTTGACGGTCACATTTGACCGGTTGAAAAAAAAAAAAAGAATAGTTTTAAAAAAACAAAATTTTACAAATAATCATGATGTAATTTGGAAAATGCATATACTAAAATTTCATAAAATTGTTTAAACTTTTAAAACAGTTTTATTGTTTCCAACATGCAACAAACATTTAGTTTGCTTTGTTGATAAATTTATGACATAAACTTTATCATTTTTTTTTTTTTTTGGCTTTACTTATTTAAATTACTTTCATTTGCTCAAAAACCTCATTTTCATGAATGTGGTTAAAAACCTCATTTTCATGAAATATTGAAGTTCTTATTTTATTTTTGTTTTTATAAAAATATTTAATATATATTAATAACAGTATAAAAACATGTCTAATATTATAAAATGCTGTATTTAACTGAAATCATTTTAAATGTGCTTAGTCACTATTTTTTAATTTTTTTATTTAAACTTTTTCATTTATTATTATATGAATATCTAAATTAATCTTATTATATGAATACTAAAATAATTTCTATAAAAAATATCTATAATAGGATTCTTAAAAATATATATGTTTAGTAAAATCTTGTTTTATGTAACACTAGTAATTTTAGTAGTAGTGTTTTATTAAACATGTCTTTTAAGTATCAAGTTCAAAAAATAAAAAATATAAAGTAGTTATTTAAAATTTTTGTATGTAACTAAGAACATTTTCTCTAGCAACTGTGCTTTTTTTTTTTCTTGTAATTTTTTTTTTGTAGCTTTTTCCCACCAATGAAAAGCCATTTCAACTAATAAATTATTTTTTAAAAATTTTTAAATTATCATTTGCGTGTTAACACAATTTTTTTTTTCTATTATTAAATTGTAATAAAATCATCAAATGTCAACCCGTCTTAATGAAGGTAAATAAAAAGAGACAAACAAAGCTTTTAATTTTCAATAGCATTCACAAAATGATTTTTTTTAGTATTAAGATAAAAAATTCAACATTAAATTACTCAATTTGTTTCTCTGCTCAGCGGCCTTGTTCATCAAGATTCGTGTTTTGGAGTTGAAGAGTTCAGAAAGGGTTGCCACCACAACTAAAAGTAGCCAACTCAATGTACTGGCCTTCATGGCCTTGGGGAGATGAATTCAAAAAAAAAAAAAACTTGGATATTATTATTCTTTTTTTTTAATTATTTATTTCCAAGTATAAACTTAAAAAATGCAATGATTTGCACTGGGAACTATTCTGTCAAACAACACAAATATTGCATTAACCTATTGTAATCAACTTGACAAGCTTCAAGTGAAACTTTGAAGTGGAATGAAATTAAAAAACTAAAAACCTAAATATGTAACAAAAAAAAAACTTAAAAGCTAACAAATGATAAAACTTTAAAATTAGAGTTAATTTTACTTGCCGTGTATGTTTGTCCTACAGTATACTGAGTAGAGGCAGTTAAGTCAAAATCAGTATATCCAGAACTAACTTTCTGTACGTACGATGTTTGATTAACTGAAATTACTAAAAATAAATAAAAATAATTTAATATTACTGTTGCTATTACAGACACTAATGTAGCAGTAATAACAACAGTAATAACAACTTTTATAAGACATTTTAATTAAAAAAAATAATTTTATTATATACAAGTAATATAGTTAAAGTAAATAGTATATTGAAAATTAAATATAAATATATATAAATAAATATATAGAGGCTTGGCCAGGAAGGCGTGGGATTTAAATTCTTATGACCACAGTCTATATGACCACACAAAAAATATTTTGTTTTGATGATTAAACTACAGTTTTTTAACAAATGCGCTGAAAAAAATGGTTTTTATTATCTTGAAAATAAATAACTTTTACATGTTTATATTTACTAACATTTTTACATTAGCAAAATGCTTTTAAATAAAGTAGCTAGTGATTTTAATTAAAGTATAATTGAAAGTTGTACATTTTTTGTTTACATTTAATTATAAGATTTTTTTAAAAGTAAAAATAAAAAAAGTATAAAATTAAAAAAAAAAAAATTAAATTTTATAAGGAACAATTTTAAACAGCGAAGATCCCTTTAATAAACTTTATATAAGAATCATTAAAGTTTTTGTTAAGACGAAAAAAAAAAGATAAACTTTTTTGAAAGCCGTTTGAATTGAATAACTTTGATCTTTACTTATGTTTTTATATTATTGAAACACATTTAAATAAAGTAACAAATCACTGCCAATGATTTTTTATAAAAATAATGAATAATATATATTTTTTTATATTTATATAAGTATTTATTTTTTATTATAAATGCTTTTAAATAAAAAAAATATATATTAACTTTTTAAACAAATGATTTAATAATTTTTTCTTTTGTGCGAATAATTGTTAAGAATCTTTTTTAAAACTCTTAAATGTGTGTATTTATTAAACAACCGTTAGATATAAGTTGTAACTTTATTTTAAAAAGGTTTCTTTATTATATTATTAAAACATTAGTAAAGATAATCAATTCAAAGTTGTTTATTCCAAATGTAATTTAGATAATCTTATTGTTAAAGTTTATTATTTATTTTAGTTGAGCTTTAATTTTATTTTGGTTATTTTAATTTTAGTAAAGTTATTTTTTATTTGTTTTTTGTTATTTTTTTTTTTACAAAAATTTATTTGCTTCTTTTACGATATGTTTTTTTTTAAGTTTTTTTAAAGTTAAGTTAAGATTTTTTAAACTCTTTTTTAAAACATATACAAATTTTCAAAACATATAAACCGCCGTAGTCAAGTTCAGTAAAATCAAATAGTATTTGCGTGGTCATATAATGACATGAAATTGCAAGCCTTTCTGGCCAAGCTTATATGTACAGTAGCATCCAAAAGTTTGCAGACAGGCATAAAAAAATTATGTAAAATTAATTAATAATTATTAATTAATTTTACTAATATTTCAGTGTATACACCACTTGAGCCATTATATTATATACCAATTAAAAGGTTTTTAGGTTAACAATTATGTTTTGAGCAAATAATGATTATCTAATTAAATATTAAAAACTGGTTTACAAAATAACGATTTTTGATAAGTTCAAAAGTTTGCGGAAGATCTAAAGCTTTTAAATTTTTCCCACAAAATTGCTAATTTCTTGATTTTATAAACAAATACTTAGTGGAAATAATTAACAAACTTGATTTATAAGTGATTGAGATCATGAAATCTAAGAAATGCATCTTATCTCCAGTAAAAAAATTGATCTTGAGATCAGTTCAAAATGAAAGTTCGTTTCATAAAACAGCACAGCTTTATTGAGTCGGTAAGTTTGCTGTAAGACAAATTATGAAGAGATATGAGCTTATTAGATCTACAAAGAATAAAATTCAATTAGGAAACCCACCCAAAACAATGCATTATCAAGATAAAAAGCTCCTGATACTAAGCAAAGAAAATCCCCATTTGACTGCTGTTGATATAAAGGTACAAATGAGATGTTTCTATGGAATGAATTATTTTTACTATAAGTATTTCTACTTTAAAACTTTGTTTACGTCACGCTAATTTATTTGAAAGACGCCCAGCTAAAAAGACATTAGTTTCCTTGAAAAACGGTAATCCCCGAAAAGAATTTGCTTCAAAGCATCTAAAGTGGAGTAGTCAACAATGGCCAAAAATTCTTTTTAGTGATAAAAACAAGTTTCTACTGATTGGATCAGATGGAATCAGGTATGTTCTACATCCAGTAGGTACAAAATATGATCTTAAACACCAAATGCCTACCGTAAGACATGGAGGAGGTATTTTAATGGTTTGGTGATGTTTTAGCCGGGAAAGAGTTGGTCCGCTCCATAGAATTACTGAGACTATAAATCAAGAAAATTACAAAGATATATGTAAGACTATTATGTTGCCTTATGCAAAGGGTAAAATGCCTTGAGGATGGATATACGAACAGGATAGCTATCCCAAACATGCAGCCAAATGGTTGCATGTTTGGGATTGGTTTTAGATTTTTAAAATTTAAAAATCTAAAATCTTTCCTATGTCATGGAAAAGGTTTTAGATTTTTTCAAAAAGGATAAAAATATTGTTTTAAGTGGCCATCCAAATTAGGTGATTTAAATATAATTAAAATCTATGGGAACATGTTGACAGTCAAATAAAAGGAATCAAGTCTACAAATCATGCTGATTTATTTAATAAAATCAAAGTATTATGGGACTCAATTTCCATTGACATTTGCATTCATTTAGTTGACTCTATGCCTTATAGATGCCAAGCCAATTTTTATTGTAAAGAATATCCTACAAAATACTAATGTGATTTTGGTTTTATATAAATTTGTGATCAAATATTGTTGAAAAATTTGTACTTTTTAAAAAAAAACGCATTGTCCGCAAATTTTTGAACTTATCAAAAGTTGTTGATTTGTATACCAATTTTAAAATGTTAATTAGATAATAATTATTTCTTCAAAAAATAATTAAAAACTTAAAAATCTTTTGATTAGTATATAATATGTTGGCTTTAGCCAACATATTATATATATATATATATGTATGTGCTGATAAATAAGTAAATTTTTTATATATATATATAAAGTATGTGCTGATAAATAATAATATATGTATGTAATATATGTATGTGCTGATAAATAAGTAAATTATTTATATATATATAAAATATGTGCTGATAAATAAGTAAATTTTTTTTTTTTTTGCCTGTCCGCAAACTTTTAGACGCTGCTCTATACATATATATATATATATATATATATATATACATATATATATATATATATATATATATATATATATATATATATATATATATATATATATATATATATATATATATATATATATATATATAAATATATGTATATATATATATATATATATATATATATATATATATATATATATATATATATATATATATATATATATATACATATACATTTACATATATATAAATATATATATATATATATATATACATATACATTTACATATATATATATATATATATATATATATATATATATATATATATATATATATATATATATATATATATATATATATATATATATATATTTATATATGTACATATAAATATATATATATATATATATATATATATATATATATATATATATATATATACATATATATATATAAATATACATATACAGGGCTCGAAATAAGCGCCAGACATTGGACATTGTCCGACACTTTTCCGAAAAAAATGACAATTATCCGTCATTTTGTCTGACCCATACTTTATGTGCATTTATGTTCTAATCGTTGTAGTTGCTCCAAAATTATTAATAAACTAGCTGATCTGACTCGTAAAAATCTTTTAAGTTTATTCCATAATGAACTTTTCTATACTTTATCCTTATATATATATATATATCCTAGCTTTCCGGACCCATAAAATACGGGTCTTTACTAAACCTACCATTTCTATACTTATCTATTCCACATTAATCATTTCTATAACTATTATTTGTTTACTTCATTATTTTTACATAAAATAGTTCATTTTGAAAAATTGCTTTAAGAGCAAAAAATATAACATGCACATCTTTTCCGCATATCTAGAGTTTTTAAGAAATTTAAAATTAGCAGTTGTGGGCAATTTAGAGTATTTATTTGATGTAAACACTACAGACAATTATTTAACTGTAAACTTTCGTGAACTGTCAAAAAATTTGTTTTGGTCTTTTTTTATAAAGTATAAAATAACAAATTAATTAACATTGGGTCGTGCTGCACCGTTGAGTCCAGATAAGAAAAAAGTGCTCTTTAACTTATCGAAAATGAGTAACTCTGTTAGTTACATGGCTAGAGCTATTGGACGCATCCGAACTGTGATTAAAAACTACGTTAATAGTACTCATATGAATGAATAAAAAAAGTCCCTAGCGCCCATCAACATTAAGTGACCATGATAGGCAAACATTGTTGAGACAAGTTTCAAATTCTTCATTAACTGCATGTCAAATTGCTGCAGAAGCAGGTTGCAATTGCTAATTTATGTACAGTTCAGCGAGTTATTAATAATGTTTTTCACCTTTGGTGCAAAAAAATTCAGCGAAAACCACCTTTGACAACAAATAACATAAGTAACTGAATAACTTTTGCAAAGTGCAATGTAACATGGAAAGAAGAGTGGCAACAAGTAGTATTTTCTGACAAAAAAGGATTTTGTTTTGATAGATGGAATTATTATTTTCACGATTTGCGTAAAGAACCAGTAACACAGCAACAACGTCAAATGGATGGTGGTGGTGCAATGATTTGGTGTGTAATTGGGTATCATGGAAAACCATTGATGGAAAAATTAAGGATTATCTTTTAATTGTTCAAGAATTTTGAAAACGTGAAGCATCTGTCATAGTTGGTGAAAATTTTGTTTTTCAGCAAGATAATGCTAGGGTTCATACAGCTAAAATAGTAAAGGAATATTTCAACAGCAGTAAAATTGAAACTGAAGTGGCCAGCTAGATCTCCTAACCTGAACATTATTGAAAACGCTTGGGTACAGCTGTCACATATAGTGTTTGAAGGTGGTAAACAATATAGTTCACTAGCTGACTTGAAATCATCCATTGCATCTGCGTGGGATGCAATTGACATTTCATACATAAAAAAGTTGTATGATTCTTTACCTGCTAGAACATTTGAAGAGATTCAAAAAAATGGTAAAAGTACCCACTATTGATTGTTTGAAATTGAGAAGTCTTTTTATATAAATGACAATTTATATGAATCTTTTTCAAAAGTGTCTTATAATTTTGTTGCACTAAAAAAACAGTTTTTTTTCAATAAAATGTGAGTTAGGTTTAAAGTAAATTTTTTAAAATGTTGTTTAATCTTTTAAAAATTTAGTCTTGTAATATTTTTGCTCTCATTTACTATAAAAATTATTTTTTAAATATAAATGTTTTATAAATGTTTTTGAAGTGTCTTATCATTTTGTCGCACTAAAAAAACAGTTTTTTTTCAATAAAATGTGAGTTAGGTTTAAAGTAAATTTTTAAAAATGTTGTTTAATCTTTTAAAAATTTAGTCTTGTAATATTTTTGCTCTCATTTACTATAAAAATTATTTTTTAAATATAAATGTTTTATAAATGTTTTTGAAGTGTCTTATCATTATTATGTTGCACAGTGTAGATAGTATTTAAAAATAATTATCGTTTTGCACAAATAACTTTTGTCACAAAATGAGAGAGAATTTATTTACAATAGTTTCATTTTAAGAAAGATCTATTAGCTTTTTAAAAAAGTTATTTTTAAGATATTTATAGTCACTTACTAATAGTTACCCAACCAGTAGTTGCCTTTGCTCTGAAATTCATCGAACCAATTATCAATCCACCCAGGTATAAAAAATTTGTTTTCAAATATAAGTATCCTGGCGCAATGCCCCAAAAAGCTTCAGTATCTAAATTAAACATATATATATAACAATTAATTTATTATTTATAACAAGTATATATTAGAAAATAATGTTAGCTTAACAAGAAAAATAAAAAAATTTTTAAATCTTTATATTTAGTAAAATAAAAAAAATTTATAGATAATTTTAAAAGTATAAGTTAAGGATTAATTTATTCATGGCAACCTTGAGTTATGGTAAAAATTATGGTAAAAACCTAAATTGGTAAAATTATGGTAAAAACCTAAATTGATTTGAACAGAGTTTGCAAAATATTGCTTAAAACATAATGTTAAATAATTAGTTATTATTAAAAACATATAAATTTAAAATTAATACAATTTTACAATATGAGATTTCTTTAATATAATTTCCTGACACAGTTAATTTTTTATTTATAGAAAAAAATATCAACTATATGAAAATAACATCAAAGTAAATGAAAATAATATCAAAACATTGTATTCAAATGACACTAAAAAACGATGACAAAAATGATGGCGTTGCACAAAACATATTGCCAATCCACAAAAAGAATTTTTTTTAAATAATGATAATAATGCATAATAATAGAATAAGAACAAATGTACAGATATTGACTAACTTTGTAGTAATACAGCAGAATGTTAAGCAATAAAAAAATTAATATTTATGCTATATATGTTAAGCAATAAAAAATATATGCTAAACATTATATAAATAATATATGCTATAAATTATAATATATAAATATATAAATATAGCAATATATAAATAATATAATATAGCAATAAATAAATAATATATGCTGTATAAAATATATAATATAGTAATATATAAATATTTAATATAGCATATATAAATATATAAATATATAATATAGCAATACATAAATATATAATATATATAATATAGCAATGTAACAGTCTATGTGCAACACAGATTCTGCACTTTGACTTTATATGGCCAAGTGCAGAACTTTATATATTTGGTGCACAAAAATGTGCAGCAACAAAAAAAAACTAAAGAGAAATAAAACTAACTAAAAAAAAATAAAAATATCTGGCCACTGAGACACAAACCTTGAACCCTCCATTTACTAGCCAGAAGCATATTCCACTCGGCCATGCTAACATGACAAATAGGGAGATAATGTTAAACTATACAATTTTACACTCAACTATTGGGGTGAAAAAAAAAACATTAAACAGACTGAAAAGAACTAATTAATTAACTCAAAAAAGCTAAGAAACTTTATAGACATAATCATATAAAAAATCATTTAAAAAAATTGTTGCATAATATATTGGAGAGACAATAAAATGTTATGATACATTACAAGGGGGGAAAGGGGCAAAAAATGTCAAAAATTGCGTAACGCAATTTATGGACGACGCCTAATGCCTAAAACATCACTAATAATTGCATACTGAAACAACAATAAGCGAAAAAGCATTTTTATTTTTTTCATAGCATTTAATCCTTAGTATTTCTAAAATATAGGACTTGAAGTATGGCTTAAAGTAAATGTAGGACTAGTAAGTAAAACTCCTCAATAAACAAAAAGTGCTGCTGAATATATTTTTTTATTCCAAAATTTTTTTAATTTCTAAATCACTAAAATATTAACTTTTAACAAAAAAATTAATGCAATCAAATTTAATTTGTTACAGAACACCCTTAGGTTTGCTAAAAAAAGAATAGTTCAAACTGCAGGTAAATATAAAATATAATTAAAAAAGTATAAAATAAAATATAAAAATAAATAACAAAAAATTTAGATAGTATTCAACAAAAATAGGAAACTTAAGGAAAGCATAAGCCTCCCAAAGAGATTTTAACAAGGAGAGGTAAGGTATTTTTTGCTGGCAATGTTTTTAGTCAGCAAAAACATGTAAGTTCACAACAACAAAAAAGAAAAAAAATGTTTGTTGTTATTTGAGATTTGTCAACTATAGGTTCAAATTAGCCGACTATTGGACAGTTCAAACTTGCTGACTAATACTTAAACAAAGTTTATGTAGGAGGATTATACACCCCCACCCCCCAATGGTGCTTTCTAGGGACAATAAAAATTACATGGCTTTTTAAAACTATTATAAATTTTTTTACAGATATCTTAATAATTTTTAGATTTATATATCTTCCTTATATTTCTTTTGTTTGTAAATTAAAACAAATATTAAAGCTTTACTTACCAATCTTATGATTTTCATACGAGTATTTTACATTATATAGAAGGTTATATATACAGTCTCTCGTTTTTGTGCAAGAGAGCGCAGTATATATTCTGAAAATGCTACTTAACTTACATTACATGGAAAAGTTTAAAAAAATTGCTTCAACTTTTAGGTCACATTTCTGCGAATCAGTAAAGCAATTTGTATAAGAAACTTTCACAAAATGTTGAGAATTCTATACCAATTTAAAAAATATATAAAAATTTATCAGAGGTGACTGGCTAAGGTGCAGGTGGCAGAGACGACTGGCTAAGGTGCATGAGGCAGAGGTGACTGGCTAAGGAAAATATTTTCTTTTTTTTGATACTATCTAATTAACTTACGCTACATCACTTACATTACCAAGCGATTGCAATCCACATCACTTACATTACCGTGCAATTATTTTCATGGATTTTTTATATCTATTATTAAGAGTTAGAGTTACATAAAAAAAGAATTACAAAAGTATTGAACTTGTTTATTAAAAATAATTAACAAAGGATATGTTAAAAAACTGGTGGCACTCTTCCTGAGTGATTTTTTATAATATTTATGAAAGTAATCAAATTGAAAACAAATTTTCCACAAAACCAAGAGCAACTTAAAAAATTATTTAAGTATTACTATTAACTATATTAATACATATTTGAGTCATTTAAATAAAAAATTTTTTGGTTTGTCAATGTTTTTATTTACACTTTTTACATTTATGCGTATTTATTGCCTTATTTTCATTAGGTTGAATTTTTAAAATGCTGTAAAGTATTTACATTTAAATCTTTAAAACATGTTTTGACATAAAAACTGTTATCGCCATTTAAGGGGGAGAAGGAGTTCAGGTATATGTGATCATTTGCTTTACGGATGACCCCCCTTATTTGCATTTACAAAGAATTTATTTTACGAAAAAAAAAAAGTTCTAACTGATTTTTTTATATTGAGAGAATAGCAAATAAAACTTTTTTTTTTTTAATGTCAAACTAAAAATATTTATACAATTCTTATTTTTATTTATTAATGTATATTTATATGTCAACCAAAATAAGAATACATAAACAAATAAAAAAAGAATAATATAAATAATTTTAATTAAACATTAAAAAAAAAAAAAGATTTTCTTAATATAAAAAATTCTCTTAATATAAAAAGTTTCAGTTAAAATTGTCGACAAAATAAGAATTGCATAATGACATAATTCATTTTGATAAAATATTCATGGTTTTAATAAAAGTATCATAGTCAAACTTTACTATGATTTACTTTTTTCATCGTGCAACAATGAGAAAAACCATAACTTTTGAAAACCTAACTTTTACAGTACTAAAATGACTTAAATAAATTTTAGTACTGTAAATTTTAGTATGTTTTAAATAAACTTTCATGTTTCTACATCAATATTCATTAGCTAAAAGTTGATTAAAAAGGAATAAAATTTGACTACTTTTTCATTTTCCGTTGTAGAACTGCCCATATTATATTTGGTATTTCCCAATTTTTGTGTCGTATTTGGCATTTGGCTCTTAACATGGAAAATTAAAAAAATAACAAAATTGACAAATACAGGTTTTCCAATAAATGCTACAATAATGCTACACAATTTCTCGACCTTTAGTCATAACTATTACAATTTCGTAAATAAAACAAAATACAAAATACATGTTTTCAAAATAAATTTAATTAAATATATTCTCAAATGGCTAAATAAGATAAATTTTGTAAATTTATATGAAAACACCTGATGAAAATTTTACTAAACAACAGACGATATGACGTCTGACTTTTTTGCGCAAAATTCAAGTAGTTCAGAATGTCAGAAAAGAAAACTTTGTTTTTTCTCTAATATAGTTTCCATAATATGAAAACAAATTTGTTCCTAGAGCTTTTTTTGATCTTAGAAAAACAAAACACAGTATTACATGATTTTAGAGGCTTTTTATTTACTGCTTAGTTCTAAATATTTTATGCTAGTTTGTTGTTTTATAGCAACAAACTAGCATAAAATATTTGAAGTTTTTAATATCTTTTTAAATGTTAAAAATAGAAAATAAAATAACTAAACAAATAATGAAAAAATTTATGAACAAAAATTAAAATTTTTCCAGAGTTTTATTTGTCAAAAGTCTACCATGAAGTCAAATACTAAAACTTTTATGAATTGAACGCGCGTCAAAGGAATTACTGAAATCTGTAGGTTGCGACATAATTTAAAGACTCATATTTTTGAGTAAAACGGAAATGGTAAGCTTTGACTAAAACAACAAGACTTTTTTATAACAATTTTATAAATAAATAAACAAAAAAAAAAAAAAGAAAGACAAAGAAAAAGGAATAAAATGAATATATAGAGAGTGAAGAAAAGAAAAAGAAAGAAACAAAAAAGCAAAAAAGAAACAAAAAAGCAAAACAAACAAATTAACAAAAAAAAAACAAGTAAGGAAAAATAGAAGACAAAAATCTAAAGTTTAAAGATATTTATGTGCAAATATGTTTGTATCTATGCATGTGGGTAAGTATGTGTATATATCTTTATATTTTTGTCTGTGTATGCATGTGACAATATTAAACTTTCTCATCTTTTTAATGCTTTTTTGTTTTTCTTTATTTTATCTTTAATTTTAATATCCTGTTTCTTGTTACAGTTTTATTTCTTTTAATTTTAAATATTTATTGTAGCCACAATAATTATTATTTTTAACTTTTACTATTATTATTCCTATTTTATTATTTTCAATTTAAATAACTGTTTTATGTCCTTGTTAGTTGTTACGTTTTATCAATCAATTGTTTGTAATTAACTTATATATA